CGGTCCCTACCCTACCTACTTCAACTACTTGAACAATGGTTATCTATTCTACATTCCGACTTTCTTTATTCTGCATTTGAAATGTTACCTAAACATTCAGCATCACTTCTATGATAACTGTCTAACAGACAAGTGATTGTAATGGTGGGGAAAATATGTCTTATTTTATTTTAAAAATAAACATATGTAACGGCGTGGTCGAACGGTAAAACGCTTGGCTGCTAATCCGAAAGAGTTGTGTTCGGATCCCTGGCTAGAATCGTAGCATGTCCCTGAGTCCACCCAACTCTGACGGGTTAGTTAGCAAAACTATTACTTGACTATAATGTTGACATAACTATTTCTATAAAACGCTTGCGCTTTATGTTACCTGGTATCCTTAAATAACTTACTTACGTAATCCTCGTCACTCCCTGTGGAGTATAGGGCAGCAACAAATCTCCGCCTACCCAGTCTGTCTTAGGCGAGCCACTTTAGTTCATGCCAGGTCTTGCCAGTAGCTTGCACTTCTTCCATTTCTCTCTTCTATGTTCCCAGTGGTCTTCCTCTCTTTCGTTTTCCAGGTTGATTCCATTTTAGTGATATGTTCGGAAGTCTTCTTCTGTTCATACGAAGGACATGACCCAAAATACGGTGTTAAAATGAAGCCGTTACCTTAATCATGCTATATGAACAAAATCCATCATAAAATTTGCACAAACAACATTATTATAATACTAATACACATTGTATATTAACGTGTGTATTTTTCTACATCTACTAATTAAAACGATTATATAGTAAATAACAACTATGTATTAGTTTAAAGTAATTTTTTTTTCAGTTCAATGACATGCCTTTTCTGCAAAGCATCTGGAAATGCATTACGCTGTGTTTGTTGACTGTGGCATTTGAGCAGTATGTAATACGAGCTGACGCGCGCCGTAAGCATACGTAGTTGTTTTATTTTCTACCTTTTTAGTAAATCATCATTTGTGAATTCGACATTATCCTCCCTTACCCCGCCCCCGTAAGATCAGCGACAGTTTACGGACGACAATGAAAATATCAAGCAGAACTTCTTACGTCTCCTTAGTTTCAAATCGTTTAAAAGCTAAATCATCTGCCCCTAATAGCCGTCACTAATTAGACCAGGCTATACGATTGTAAACATTAAGGTTTAACCACAGCTCAACAGAAAGGTGGGTGTGGGGGTGGTAGCGAAATACTCTGTTGCGCATGCCTGAAGAGCGAGACAAGGGGTGGGAGGAGGGTTAGATAGTCGGCTTGCATCGTCTTGCCCTTGAAGAGAATTATATATATATATAGATATGGTAAAAATAATGTCCAATTTCCTAGTGTTATTTACAAATTATATCAATTTAAATCCGTTTTATTTCTACAGATATTCAGTGTGATATTTATATATTTATATAGATAGACTTACAGATCGTAAATTCGGCAATGATTTTTGTTGGTGTCACCCTACTACACCCCCCCCCACCCCCCATTGTGATAGATAAAACCTGGACCCATTTTTTTGGAACAAGACTTATTTACTAATTTTTAATAGGCTACTTGATATTGTATTGTTTCTCAATAGTGAGCAAGGTTCTGTCATGGTATCATCACCCCCCCTCCCAATATTTGTCGTGCTATCTCAATTTTTACTTATATTATTGTCTACCACTAATTCATCGTTAACTGAACATGAAAACGAATTTTTCTTCTGTATATCTTGAATAGTTTAGTGTGAATTTAAAAGATAAAATTTTGTCGGAATAGTACAAATTGGGAACACTTTCTTATTTAGTGGGCAAGTGTTATGTGTTAGGGGGAATTCAATGCGGTTGGAATATTTCAAATACATTAAGTAAAACATCACCGTTAATAAAATGTTAAGTAAATATTTTCGACACACATACACAAACACACCCGAATGCAAATGATTATTCACATAACGACAGAAACGTAGTTTTTAGAGTATCGTGTTTCAATTGATCTATTTTCACCATCCATTATTAAACTTGAGTAATAAACTTGAGTATAGTTTTAAACAACAATAAACGGAGTTTCTCGTTAAACTTTGAATCATGAAATTTCTTGAACAGCCTGTAACGATGATTAACACTAGAAACGTAGTTTTAACAGTATCGCCCCCCCCCCCTGCAACTTTTTTCGTGCCCCGGTATTATCAGAGGCGTAGCGACCCTTCCGGCGCCCGGGGACAAACTTTCGATTTGCAACCCCCCCCCCCCCCCCCCTCAAACTTTCGATTTGCTTTTCCAACCCATTTCTGCGTCCCCCCTACGGACAGCGACCTAGGCAATCGCCTAGTTCGCTTTATAGGTATCGCCGGCCCTGATCGTGTTTCAACTGATCTATTTTCACCATCCATTATTAAACTTAATATAGTTTTAAACATTAAAAAAATTGAGTTTTTCTTGAATCTTCGTATCATGAATGTTGTTGAACAGCCTGTAACAATGGATGGTTTGGAGACAGTTGTGAATACAAGTGCCACTGTGTGTCGCCCAACCTGTGTTCCTCATCCGGCGATTGCATCGATGGCCATTGTTCTGTTGGATGGTTTGGTATCAAGTGCCAATATCGTAAGTAAAAGTACGGAAGTAAAGTGGTTTTTTTTTTTCTGAAAATGTCGGTCCACGGGGCAGGTGAAGTAGAGTTCACCTGTTTCTGTGACCTTGGGATATGAACGGATTGAGTTGTCAGAACAATCCCAAGCTGCATTTTGTTCATGTGAGTCAGGTACCGATTAGAGCTGAGTCGACTAAGATATGCTCTACGGATTTGAACTTGGGATTTGAATTCGAGACTTTCGATTAAGGAAATATGGTAAGATATTTCAATAATTGATTATTGATATGATACTTAATCATAATTCTTAGAACAGACATAAAGGTTTAAAAATTAATAAACTTTTAAACCTTTAGAAACGCTCTTCTGGGTTTGCGTGGTCGAGCCGGTAAAGCCGTTCAAACCCCAGTAGATCTAATTTACAACACACCACGCCCTCCAACACTCCACACATTTTTTGCCTAAAATTTTGCCAAGATTTTAGCCTCGGCGAATGCAGAGCCTACGTGATACTTTCTCCATATGTCCAAGTAAATTTCCAAGATCCATCTAAAAAATTAGTCAGATGGATATATATATATATATATATATATATATATATATATATATATATATATATATATATATATATATATATATATATATATATATATATATATATATATATATATATATATATATATGAAAAACAGAGTGAAAGAGGGAGAGAAAATAAATTTAACGAGCCGGCCCGCGGTATAACATACGCCGCTTATTAGTTGTTTTTTCTACTTTTCAGTAATTCATAATTTGTGAATTCGACAGTACCAACGCTGCCACTGAAAATATTTCTTTAAAACTGTATAAGTAGCTCGTTAAGGACCATAACCCCCCCCCCCCCTTCCTTCCCCCCCCCCCCCCTACGTTTAAAATCGTCTGATCTGCTTGTAAACATCTAGAGTGAACACAGCTCACTAAAACCATGTAGGGGTGGGGAGGTAGGGAGCGCGTTTGCAGCTTGTTTTCTAGCGGCTCCCAGAAGAGAATTATATATATAGATTAAATTTTTATAGTGGATTTAGTTCAAGAAGCCAGTTCATTGGAGCCAAACCGCTCGCAACTTACAGAAGGAAATATAGTCAGATGCACAATTTTGGAGCAAATTAAGGTGACCTGGGGCAAACATCAAGACTTGGATTGGATTAGAATACTGCTTGAGAACAAAAGTAAGCCACCATATATATATTATATATTTATATACATATGACGAAGTAGAACACAAATTCGTGATCAACCAGTTGTCGTGGGCGTCGCGGGGCACTATCAGCTATACTACCGCAAGGGGCGTCAGGAATGATATAATAATTTAATATCGAATGCCAATGTGTTCCAATTTCGGTTCTTCTTTAAAATTAATGTAGATAACATAGTACTTACAAAGGGGTCCAGGGTGCTGCAGGACACCTGATTACAGAGGTGTAGGCTCAACACCTGGTTTTTCGTTTGTGTTTGCGTTTGTGTTTGGGTTGGTTGTGTTTAGGGTTAATTCGAATATTTTTATAATTCATAAAACCACTAGTCATGTTCATTTAAAAAATAGGTTTTTCACAGAGGCATATATATATATATATATATATATATATATATATATATATATATATATATATATATATATATATATACAGTGTATACAAGCCTATTTTCAGCTCAACAAACGTACACATAAACGTACACTTACACTAGAACCTTCAGACAATCGATGAACGATGGATTGAATGGATGGACGAACAGATGGACAAAAGGAAGGATGGAGAGATAATTTTTTATATATAATGTACTATAATTTCAGAGTTTGAAAGTTTTACTTTAGTGTTTAACAGCGACAATGGTATCGTTGACTCAACCTACCAATTCCACAACGCTTCTGATGAGAGAACAGTCGACATCCATTTCAAATTGACCAACTTGTCGAATAGTATTGAGATTAGCCTGGATGAAGAACGATCTGTTTGTGCGGTTTTTGTTAGCGGGGGTATGCTGTAGTCTAAAATAAAGGGTCGTCCATAAATGACGTCACACTCGTAGGGGTGGGATGGGGGATTTTGTGACAGTGTGTGATGAGGGGAGGTGGGTGTGTTCAGATGGTGTGACGTCACACTTTTGCATTATAACAAGCAATGTGAGAAATGAGTTATAGCCCTTGTTTTGCGTTTTAGAAAACTATTTTGATAACAAATTTTGAGATGTGTTGTAGAATTAGATGTGACATGATATTAAGGGGGGGGGGGAGTATTGCTTTTTGTGACGATGTGTGATGAACGAGAGGGAGGAGGTAAAAATCGTCAAAAAAGCGAGACATCATTTCTGGATGACCCCTAAGCTCAAAGTTTTATTTTCAAATCAAATTTTTCCTACGGTGTAATTTTGTATAACGAATTTCATAGGTCGCAATATAGCTTTGAAACAGGAAACGCAACATGCTAGCACAATGCGGAATTATGAGTCTGATAAGGCCGTTGATGGCAATAGAAACGCTGACATGATGCAAGGCTCATGTACTCATACACTGAGACATAACGCATCGTATTGGAACATTCGTTTTAAAAGGAGAGTTTCTATTCAAAGATTCATTATAGTCAACAGAGGTAAAAACATTTTATTAATCGTAGACCTTTTATCTTGCTAGATTTTTCTGAAATTTTAATGAGGAAGGTAATTTATTTGCATATGTTGTTAAAATTATTCTTATTTTATTCAGTATTTCGACTTTATCAACTTGTGTTTTATTGTAGGCTAATTAATGTATGAAAGTTTGTATCACCAGTGTATATATATATATATATATATATATATATATATATATATATATATATATATATAATGTGTGTGTGTTAATAAATGAAAGACAGTTAGTACACACAAATGCTATTCAAAATACGCAGGTATCCTAAGATAGGAAATAACATGCCAAATCATGGGAAATTCAGCACAAGAATTTATACACGTTTACTATTTGTCGAATTACCCCTAACAACAACCAACCAAAACCAAGAAAAACAAAACGCAAACATAACACAAACGCAAACACAAACCCAAACCCAACCAGAGACGCAAACACAAACAAACAGAAAACACAAACGTAAAGTAAAAGCAAACAAGAAAAACACAAATCCAAACATAAACACAAACCAAACCACAAACGCAAACCCAAATAAAAACAACAACACAAACGCGCACAAAAAAGCAAACACAAATACAAATAGAAACATAAACGCAAAAACTTACACAAAGAAAACACAAACGCAACCACAAAAGCAAACGAAAACAAACCCAACCACAAACTCAAACCCAAACACAAACACAAAAAAAAACACAGACGCAAAACAAAACGCAAACAAAAATTCAAAATAATGCAAATAAAAGCAAGCATAAACACAAACTTAAATGCAAACATAAGCGCAACGGGCTTACAGTCTAGACCGTGGCGCAAAATTGCACCATGCTGGGGCGCCTACGGAACCGCCAGATTCAACTTAGCAAACGACTATAATACCCCAACTTATTCATAGTCTTTTGCACTCACTTAAACAAACGTAGGCGCCATAACTAACACGGCGAGGCCCGTGGTGTCGAATAGCACCCTGTCTGGGAACCGGAGGATGCCCAGATTTGATTCATTTAAGGACTATAGTAACCTTTAATATCCATAGCCATGGAAACGGCGGCCATCTTGAAAAAAACATCATTTTCTGGAGTTCTAAAATTTCATAAACTAACATAAATATCGGCTATATAACCATTGATCCTTCTTGTACTAACGCTAATAGAGTCAGCTGGCTGGTTTTTGTAACAGAAATCACTCTAGAAATATTTTTTTTAATTTTCAATATTTGGTGTGACGAAATTCCAATGAAAATAATGCTAAATTCAATGGAATTTCACCACACAATTTTTTTGAAAATTTAAAAAAAAATATTTCTGGCTGTTTTTTGGTTACAAAAATTAGCCAGCTGACTTTATTGGTGTTAGTACAATAAAGATCAATGATTATATGGGCGGTTTATATGTTACTTTAGGAAATTTTAGAACTCCACAAAGGTAGTTTTTTCCAAGATGGCCGCCGTTTCCATGGCAACCATATTTTCAGAAGAGTCCCTGGTACATACAAATATTTGTCCTTAAATGCCCTAACTTATACATACACAAATAAATGATAAAGGCTTTTTACTTAAAAAGTATTTTTCCTCGTTTTTTTCGGGAGCCTATCCCCTTAATCAATCCACGCTAATGAGTGTTATTATAACTTTATTATTCCTCTGCACCCACGTTTATGTTTTCCCTTTCCGTCTGGACTGGATTTACAAAAAGGACTTTGCGTTAGTTCGAGATTTAGAACAGCAATTCATTTGCGGGTAAAAGGCTATTGATGGTAGGGCGTACATTGAGACATTTGTTTGTGTTGCGTTTGTGCAGTACTAACCATTCACGAGCTGAAAACCGGGTCGTTTAGTAGATTACTAAAATTGATAAGAGACGTAGGTCTCTAAAATTGTTGTGATTTTTTTCTCTGCCATTTGTAAGTATTTTATAATGAAAATATATGCCTTATAATTTGACGAAAGTTTATTTAATTTAAATGGAACATGAATCATGAAAATACTATTCCTTTAAGATGCTGAACGACAACGTTTGAAGGGCTTTCTTCTCGAGGCTTTCAGTTCAGATCAAAGATTGCCTGTTTACCATTTTAACGACCAAAGTGGAGAAAACAATGTTCCCATTTATGACTGGACAACAAGGAGTTTTACGGCCGATAACTTGACCATTACTTCAGGCATATCCGATGGTTCTTTGACACTATGTGAAGTGGAGATTTATGGAGGTATTATTGTCTTGTTGACTTGATGTATGGTAGTAAAATACGATTATTGTGTTGAGATTAAGCCTACATAAATTAAGTTTTGTAAATATATTCTAAAGCATTGAGCTCGTATTATGTACATTATTATTAGAATTTTTAGATTGCTTTTTAGACCGTTTATATACATTGAAAACAATGCGCGTCGCGACACACCAGCAAGATACAAGAATAATATATTTTGAAAAGTTAAGATAATTTAATAATTATATTTTACTTCTCGTTATTACAAGCTTTTATTTAACTCACTTCCTCTGTCTGTCGTAAGTCGTCAGTCTAGACGGAAACGCAGGAGTGAAAATTCGGACAGTTCTACTTGACCGATACGATTCACAGTTGGCACGTGGGTCAAGACATGAAGACAATGCAATCTGAATCTAAATTTGACTTAATTGGATGCCTAATTAATTTTTTATGAATTAATTAAAATTTGGACCGAATTAGTAGGCATGTCTAGCCAACCACACCACACGCGTCATCACCTTCAATAGCTGCGCCATCACGTAATGGCTGCGTTCAAAAACCATTGTGCGCCTACTGAACGTGATGTTCAGTAGGCGCGCAATGGTTTTTAGTCATGTAACTCTATTGTAAATAAAACATGTAAAGTACTGAAAAAAAATTCATAAAAAACGTTTTAATAACAAGCTTTTATGTAATGATGCACTAAAAAGTAGAAAATAAATTATAGACTACTATTTAAATAACTATAAAGAAAAGCGTGGGTGTCTTCCTTAACATTAGTAAAGGTATCCAATAGATACTAAAGTGACCCACGCTTTTCTTTATAGTTATTTAAATAGTAGTCTATAATTTATTTTCTACTTTTTAGTGCATCATTACATAAAAGCTTGTTATTAAAACGTTTTTTATGAATTTTTTAGTTTAACAGTTAACTTCGTCTACCCAGAATACGTATGTGATTTTCGCCATTACGGTCTGAATTGCGAAATGCCTTGCATATGTCAAGATCCAAAAGCTTTCTGTGCGTCATCGACTGGTGCATGTAGTGGTAAGGATTTTAAAGAAACGTAGACCGGCTACTGAATAGCTCAGTATAAATTAAATTTTCTGTAATTGAAAACGGAAATGATTACGTGTTTATTACTTTATTAATTAACTGATCAGCACTTTAAAAATATTATTCTAACCCGAATAATGTGTGCATGATTATTCAACAATTAATTAGGTAAAATTCACAAATTTGAAAGTACAGTTAGTTGTAGTTGAAGGCGTAGATAGCACGACGGGCAGACGAGGCAGGGGACGATAACCCATCTATGAGAAAAAAATTCAAAATAGAAGTAGCAAATACAGAAAAAAAAGTCGCAATCAGCGTGTCATATGACGCATAACACGAGGTAATGCAATGATTAATTGTATTAGTCGAAAATAGCCTCGAATATTACAATTCAAATCGAAGATAAATTTAAAAAAAAGACAGTCATTAAAAGCGACATTAACCCATATTCTGCTAGCGTCCCACTTATGGGACGCTTGTAAAAATATTGCTAAAATTTGTTAAAAACTAGTTAAAACACAAATTATGTTTCATTGTATTTGAAAATGGTTAGACTATTTAATTTGTGTGTGTTTTGTAAAAAAAAAATTAATTTTGAAAAATGTTATAGCGCAGGCTTTGCAGGACTTGTCAAATGGCGGAAAAAAGAAAAATGCGCACAGGAAAATGCGTATCTTCTAAAATATTAACATTTTAAGTGCAAAATACATTTGGAACTTGTAGCAGTACCATATTTCTATCTGATATAAATTTAAGAGTAACAATGTTTTTAAACTACTGCATTATATCAAGTGTACAACTAGCGTCCCACAAGTGGGACGTTAGCAACAAAGGCCCATGTAGATTGTTTAACAAACGTCACATTTATTGGACACTAGCGAGAAACACAGATGCAAATGTTTATGTTAAATGGTCCTTCATGGTGAGACAATTGTTGACTTTGTTATTTACATCCCTGTCTGCAATTCTACATATAATTTGCTTTTCCTTTGGCTTATCACGATTACATAAAAGTAACCATAAAACAAATTAATTTTTTTTTTCAACAATAGGCTTTTAAATGCACTGAAAATACGGAAAAAAAAACTTTCTATAATAAAAGCTTGGGTAGCTCAGTTAGTAAAGTTAGAAAGTTTGCTTTATTTTCTGCTTTCTGGAATAGGACTGTATTAAAATTCATATTCAAACATACTTTTTAGCAAAACCAGCAAAACTGCGTATTACATTATTTATTTTGTCGCTATTTCGATTGGATAAGATAAATAAAATATAACACATTAACAACTATAGCTAAATGTTTTAATTTTAGTAATGATAATATTTGATTCACAGAAACAAAATGTGGCACACTACCAACTATAGCAAATGGTAAATGGATGCTTTGCTTAAACAAAATATGCCATTTGAAATGTGAAAAAGGACACAAAATTGAAGGAAATGAAACAATCCGCTGCCAAGACATTCAACAATGGACAGTTCCCGGAAGTTGCATCAGTAACAGTTATTTCCTTAATTAAATAAAACTAGTAATTGCAATCTCGGTTTGACAAGACTTGATATAGTTACACTTGCAATTTAGATTTTTAAATACAGAATTAACTAAATTGTCATCTATCAATTTTGTATTGTGAAAAGTAAATTATTTTCTTACAAATGCTAATTTTGTTTTGTGATGATATTAACAAGCTTTAGAATAATGTTAACAGTTACTGATGGTTCTATTTTATCAAATGAACAACTTGAAACTATTATTTTAATTGGTATCGACATCAAGCGCTACATAAATTAAGCATGCTGATATTCAAATATAATAAGAATTCCATAGCATATTCTTTTATTAAATATATGCAATTTATTATACATTTTGGGTTATGAAAAATTACAACAACAAAAAGCAAATTAAGATTATTTGAAAACGCTTGTATTAATTAAAACACATAGTTACCAACACTAGTTAAGATTTATGAGTTAGCCTATAATAAGATTTAATAATCTGATAGATGCAAAGGCGGAGAATGGTTGTTATGAAGGTTGGTATGGACCCAATTGTTATTACAGTAAGTAGTATAAACGTATTAGTACAAAATATAGGTAATTAATTTTATCGTTAACTAATAAATTTTAATAAATTATAACTTGGTAGTAGAACAGAACCCAACTTCATTAGAATGTTAAAAATATAATAAGATTTATATATATATATATATATATATATATATATATATATATATCATTAACCAGGAGATATTATGCTTTTCGGACAAGAAATCTACCCGCTCTCTTTACTAGACAATGATACTTGTGCTGTTACTGATTCATTACACATGAAGTTTAAATCGGAAACGTATTTTATTTCTATAATAATTTTTCTTAAAGAAGGTGAGTAATATATTTTTGTGTTTTTAATAAGTGAATAATTTGACATAATATATATATATATATATATATATATATATATATATATATATATATATATATATATATATATATATATATATATATATATAATATAATATAATATATATATACATTGATACTTCGTCATACAATTGCCTCGACATACGAACATTTTTATATGCGAGTGAATTTGCGAGTGATGTTTTGCTTTCAAGTATGAGCAAAATTTGACACACGAGAATTAGAGAGCATTGGGTTTCATAATTTTTTTAAAAGAAACATCCCTTAAAAGATACTACTGTTAAAGTATCACAGCTATTTAATAACTCTTTTACTTATTTCCTGTATATTCTGAGACGAAAAAATAAACCTGTTGATTTAGGTTTTTTTTTAAACTAGTTGAGTAAAGCGTGTCGAAAAAAGAAAACAAAGACGAGTGAGGAGAAAAGTGATAAAAATAAAGCAAAAAGTATACTTATTTTACAGTGGCAATAGTTGGAAAATACACCCTACAAATGGGGATGAATTGGGTGTATCCTGAGAATGAAAGAGTATAATACAGCGAGAAAAGCGCTAGAATAGAACCCGTAGTGTAAGAGGAATATAGGCCGGCAAATGAAATCCCAGAGAAGAGTAGAAGAAAAGACAAGGGCTACCGGGCTTAGGGGGGCTGGGAGTGGGGGTGGGGGGTGGGGCGCAAATAGTAAGAGCTGTCCAAAACGGAATTAGGTGGAGAGTCGTGGCTGCAGCCCTTTGCTCCCCATGACCCATAAAGGAATATACCAAGGCAATTAATTTAATACAATTGAATGAAAAGTAGTTAAGTCAGCTAAGTCGCAGTAAGCTTAGGATAAAATGTAGCAGTACGCCTGTAAATAATCAGTGAACTAAGATTATCTAGAGAGTTTAGCATTAAAAGTTTAGGATTGAGTGTGTAAATATTCAATGAACTAAAATTACCTAGAAAGTTTAGTATTATAAGTTTAGCATTAAGTGTGTAAATATTCAGTGATCTAAGATTATCTAGAGAGTTTAGCAAAGTTTAGCATTAAGTGTGTAATTAGTCAGTGAACTAAAATTAGGCCTACCTAAAGAGTTAGGCATTAAAGGTTTAGCGAGTAACTGAAGGAAGTAAAGCTCCCCCCCCATGAAAATAAATTTTATATATCAGATTATTCATTTACGTTCTCTTTTCATATTTTTTACACAATATTCATATTCTAAATACATTTTCATTATACAAAAATATGTAACAAACAACAACTAGATGGCATTTTGAGGTCTGGACCAGAATAATGCGATTGCCATTATGTTTCATGATAAAAATTGCGTTGAGGTGCGAGCAGTTTGTCCATAGTGAAATGTTCTCATGTAGCTTTGTTTGACAAAAACAACCAATAATAATAATAATAATGGTAATAATAATAAGAAGAAGAAGAAGAAAAAGAAGAAGAAGAAGAAAAATAAGAAGAAGAAGAAGAAGAATAGTAATAATAACAATGATAATATTAATAACAATTCCTCTTCTTCTTCTTATTATTATTATTTAGTGTTTAAATTTATGATAAA